TGACTGAACAAGTTGTGGTATATGAATGTGATGGAATACTATCGTGATATAAGAAATGATAAGCAGGCTGACTTTAGAAAAACCTGGAAAGGTTTGCATGAACTGATGACGAGTGAAGTGAACAGAACCAGGAGAACGTTGTACACAGTAACAGCCACATTGTTCAATGACTAACTTTGATAGACTTAGCCCTTCTCAACAATGCAAGGATCTAAGACATCTCCAAAGGCCTCATGATGAAAAATGCTATCCACGTTCAAACAAAGAACTATGGAGTTTGCATGCAGATCGAAGCATACCATTTGCTCTCTTTTTTTCTTCTGTTTTGTTTTGTTTCCTCTTTCTTGTGGTTCCTCCTATTGGTTCTAATTCTTCCTTACAATATGACTAATGTGAAAATATGTTTAATAGGAATGTATATGTATAGCCTATATCAGATTTAGTGCCATCTTGGGAAGGGAGGTAGGGAAGGAGGAGGAGGAGAAAAATTTAAAACTCAAAGCTTGAGGAAGTGGTTGTTGATAAGTCAAAATAAATTAATAAAAAATAAAAAATTAATAATAAAAATTTTTTAAATAAAAAAGAAGGTAAAGAGGAAATAAAATTATCCCTAATAGCTTATGATTTGATGGTTTATTTGGAAAATCATAGAGAATCAACAAAGATACTAATGGAGACAATTAAAAGCTTTAGCAAAGTTGCAGGCTACAATATAAACCCTCAAAAATCAACAGCATTTCTATATAATAACAACAAAATACAAAAAGCAATGATAGGGGGCAGCTAGGTGGAGCAGTGGATAGAGTGCCGGCCCTGAAGTCAGGAGGACCTGAGTTCAAATCCGGCCTCAGACCAAACACTTGACACTTACTATCTGTGTGACCCTGGGCAAGTCACTTAACCCCAATTGCCTTAAAAAGAAAGAAAGAAAGAAAGAAAGAAAGAAAGAAAGAAAGAAAGAAAGAAAGAAAGCAATGATAGAAAGGGAAATCTCATAACTACAATGTGTAAAATATCTGAGGATTGACCAACTAAAGCATATAAAAGTCTTGTATAGATTCAATTACAAAGTTCTCCTTAAAGAAATAAAGAAAAACTTAAGTAGGTGGAGGAATATTCAGTGCTTTGGGCTAGTCTATGCCAATATAATAAAGTGACAACACTATCAAAATTAAGTTGTATGTTTAATGCCATACCAATCAAATTACCATAGAGAAATTTATAAAACTTGATAAAATAATAACAAAATTCATTTGAAAAAACAAAAGATCTAGAATATCACAGGAAATGACGAAAAGAAATAGGGACAAAGGGGGAAATAGAACTTTCAGACCTCAAACTGTTATAAAGCAATAGTCCTCAAAACCATCTGGTATTGGTTAAAGAATGGAGAGAGAGAGAGATCAATGGAACAGTCTAGACAAGGGAGATTCAGAAACAACAGAACTCAATAACCCAGTATTTAATAAAGGGAAAAACATAAATTATCTGGGGGGGGGAATTCTTTATTTGATTAAAAAAACTGCTGGGAAAACTAGAACGCAATTTGGCAGAAATTAGGCTTACACCAACATGCCACACCACACTCCATATTACATTTTAAATGGACGTTGTTGAATCATTTCAGTCTTGTCCATCTTAACCCCATTATAGGGTTTTCTTGGCAAAGCAGTTTGCCATTTCTTTCTCCAACTCATTTTAAAGATGAGAAACTGAAGCAAAAAGGGTTAAATGGCTTGCCCAGAGTCATACAACTAAATAAGTATCTGAGGCTTGATTTGAACTCATGAAGAGTCTTCCTGACTCCAAGGCCAGAGCTCTATCTACTGCACCACCTAGCTGCCCTTTTAAATGGCTACACAACTTTAATGTTAAAGATCAAAACATGTTTATAATTCATGGCTACCAAACCCTTATCAGAGAAATTTGATACAAAGATCTTTTTTTCCCATTTGATCACTTGCCTTCTTATCCTAGAAGCATTAATGTTGATAAAGCTCTTCAAATTCACATAATCAAAGTTATCTCTTTTGTAATTGCCTCCATCTCTCGTTTGGTTAAGTCTCCTAGCCATAGCTATGAGAGGTATATGATCTGTTTCTCTTACAATTTTTTAATCTTATGATCTTTAACAACATATTGGTGTGCAACAACATTCAGATATTCTGAAAAATCAGTCTCTCAGTGCTTTCAAAATTATGTCACCTGCAGCACAAAGGACCATGACTTCACAGACACCTTATTCTCTTTGTATATAGTATATATGGTCCAGCTGCTCTCCCCAACTTTATCTTTTTTGTCTTTGCATGTTTGGTGCTGAGTGTATACACTGCACATGGTAGGTCTTAATTGAATTAAACTGAATTGAAGATAGCACATTTTGGACTGTGGACTGAGGTTTTAGAGGGTTTTTTTTTCACATTGTTATGGTAAATCCAATATGACTGATGATGAAAAACAAATGATATAGAAACATTGAAAATATGTATTCCAATTTTCATTTATTGTCATACCTGTTTCATCTGTGAATGGTCCTGGGATAATCTAGTTTTGTGGGCTCTCATGCCAAGCTTTCTGACTTGTTTTCTCTTCTGTAGCTTTTTGGTATTTTATGGAACACTGCTCACAAGCTTCTGCTACCCTTCTTCAGTGTTATACAGCCAGTGGGAGGGGTCCAAAGTGGGGGTGATTAGGAAGGAAGAACAAAAAATCATGAACTCTACAGACGTTTAGGCTCCAACTCCAGCCTGGGTCTGTGACCTCCAACCCTGGACTAGGCTTTTAGGAACTAAATGGGGTTGGCAAGGGATACAGAGGAGTGCTGTATCTTCTTAGAGTCCTTCTTAGTGAGGCCTCGGGCCCTCCCTCCCCTTGAGAGAGGGGAAACATGATTGGGAAAGGGCTGTGCTTTGAATGGGGAACACAGGCTTGGGTACAGCATGGCTACCTGACCTAATGCAGAAAGAGTGGGATTCCAGTTGAAGGGACGCTGGTCAAATTCTCCTGGCAAATATCATGAGAAGATGTCATCTCAAAGTAGCCCTGTTCAAGGATGCCTCCACCTTCATATATTCCTAATATTCATCTGAATGGTGTCTCTTTAGTGCTAGCTAAGTAGGAACCATATAACAGTTTATTAACTGGGACTCCAAGGGTTGTAGTCCCATGATTTGCCCAGTTATACTGCCAAGGAAAAGCTATATTTCCGCATCATCACCCATGTGACTGGTGGCCCTGATTTTGGGGAAGCATTGGGGTCGTGTGTTTGAAGGGAGTCCTGAGCTCTGAGGCGTTTGGGGTAAAGTCGTACCCACCATCTTGGGCTCTCAAGTGGGATCAGCCCTCAGACCCACGGGGCTCTGAACTCTGGGCTCCTCCTATGAGCAAAGGAGGCTCCTCAGGTTTTGCCAGACCCTCTGTTGTGAGGAGGCAGGGAGGGGACTCCCTTCTTCCCCCCCATTCTCATGAACTTGGAATCAGATAACATCTCTAAGGTGGCCCGCACTGGGGATGTGATGAAGGCGACAGGTCGCCAAGAGCTTCTTTGATCTCTAGCTCACTCATAGGATGACTTGCTTTCATCTGTGGATGAGCTTGAGCTCTCTGAGACCTGGACAGAGTGGGGCCTCCTCTGGGCTACATGGGAAGGAGAAGGCAAACTCCCAAAGACAAGCACGGCCTAGCCAAGAGAGACAAGGTGATGGGGAAGGCTTGCTTATCAACCAAAACATGGCACCAACTCATTCTTTCTGCATCTCTTCTCTCACCTCAGCCAGCTCGTGACTGGAGAGGAGTGGTGGAGCTAGCGATAACTGTGATGGAAAGAGGAGGCTCTCAGGTGTCTGGTGCCAAAAAAGCAAACAAACAAATCCACAATTAACTGGAACTCTACTGAGCAAGAACTCAACCTAGTAAAAGCATCAACTTATCAAAATATTTTCAGTGCTCCACTTGAAAAAAAAAAAGACAAATGACCAATCCAGCTGACATTAGAGATTTATTTAAAAAAAAAAAAAGACAGACAGGATGACTAGGATGTGTCCTGGGCTTTCTTTCCATTCAGCTCGATCCTTGACACTATCAGCTACACTGTGTTCAAAGAGACAGCTTCCATAATGTCCACACTCAAATTAGTATTGTGAAAGTCTTTGTCATTAGAGGGAGATGGAATTTTGTTCAGTGGGCTCTGCAGGACAGCCAGTGGGCTGAGAGGTTTTAGAAAACCTTTGAGTAAGAGTTGAATGAAAAAAGTGTTGAAGGTTAACCCAAGCATCCCAGCTAAATTCAAGTTTTATTGTAAGAAGATAGATTGATAGATAGATAGATAGATAGATAGATAGATAGATAGATAGGAAAAGATATATAGTTACAGAGAAGGATAGAAAGATAGCAATAAAGATGGTTGAGTAATAGATAAAGGGAGGGATGGAAGTGTGGGCAGATATAAGTAGATAAAAAATGGAGAAATCTCAATAGACAGATAATATAGATGGATATAGAGAGATACTGAAGGACAGATACATACACAGATGACAAGTTGGTAGATGTAAAGAAAGAGATATAGAAATAGATAATTAATAGTCAGGTAGGTGATAAATTAGTAGCCGATCAATATGGACATAAAGATAATTGACAGATGATAAATGATAAGATTGTTATATTAATAGTTTAACATAGATGAGCACAGATGATAGCCTGGTGGATAGAAACAGATGGTAAATGACTGAGCTAGACAGATGGGCAAATAGAGAAGCCACAGTTGGGAGGGATAAGGAGGAACAAGCCCAGATATATGAGCCCTTTCTTAGATGACCACAGATACAGTCAAACATCTATTCCTGAGAGGTGGAGAAGCCTTGGAATATATGGCCAGAGGGTTGCAAACAAGGTTTCACTAACTCCCAACGGAGGTTTTGGTCATTGTGGGCCTAGGGAAAGGCTGCAATTCCTCTTTCATCCAATCAGCTCCCATGGTTCGTTCTGTGGGAGGCCAGGAGGTGCTAATGTGTAATGGGCTTGCCTTTTAAAACAGCTATAATCTTTTCCAGGCTAATTTTGAGGCTCTGGATGAAGTCCTGGATGTTGTAATCAGAGCACGAGGTGACATTGAAGATGATGCAGTCATCTTGGATCAAGTATGTGATCCCAAAGCCATCGGGGACTATGGGCATAGAAGCCCCGAAATTCAATGTCGGGTTGGACAGATGCCTGGAGAAGATGAGGCTGTGATTGAGTTGATCGTAGGCAGAATCTAAAAAGATATCAGGCAAATAGCCTTTTTTGGAGTCAGCCAAGATCCGAAGAGCAAGCAAGTGTCTGTCAAACCCTTGACCTGTGAAAATGACCAAAATGGTGGTGGCATTTTAGCTTGGGAAATGGCTCTGGGACTGGCCCCACCCACCCCTTGGGGTAGCTACATGACTTCAGGCAAGGCTCTCACTCTCTCTGGGCCTCAGGTTCTCAAGCTCTAAAAATTTAATGAAGGTGTTCTAGTGGAAGGCCTCAAAGGTCCTTCTAGCTCCAGGTCCCATGGTCCATGACCTGATGTCAGAATCACAGAGTCTTAGAGGTGAGCGGGCCCTCCGAGACCATCTAGCCCAAACCACACCTGAATGAGAATCTCCCTGACAATGTGCCCCAAGAGGAGTCACACAACCTTTGCTTGGGGGAGCCTGCCACCTCCTGAGGCAGCCAGCCCCATTTGGTTTAGAGCAACTCTCATTGGCAGGACATTTTCCTGACATCCAGCTTAAATTGTCCTCTTTGCAACCTCCACCATTGCTCCTAGTTCTGCATTTTGGGGCCACGATGGACAAGCCTAATCACTTTTCCATGGGTTGGAAATGCTGGAGGATAGATATCATGTCCGTCCCCCCGCCCCTCAGTCTTCTCTTCTCTAGGCTACACATCTTCAGTTCCTATAACAGCTTCTCCTGGGCCATGATCCCAAGGCCTATCCCTGTCTTGGGAACCCCACCTCTGGTTGCCCTCCTGCTTGTCCCTGAGGTGCCCCAAACTGAACACCACATTCTAGACACAGTCTGATATGGTGAAGGATGATGGCACTATCATCATCTCTCTCACGTTGGACAACGGCCTAACCCCATATTTGCTTTTTTGGCTTCCACATCTCATTATTGACTCATTCCTTGGCACCACCAGACCTTGTCTGGACCACTGATGGTTCAGCCACACCTCCCCTCAATGAATCTGAGTTTTTTGACACATCTGATTTTGCATTTGTCCCTATTAAATATCATGTGATTCTATGTGGCTCCATATTCAAACTTGACAAACCCCTTTTTGGGTTCTAACTGTTGCTTACATGTCTGCTATCCTCTCTAGCTCAGTCTGCCATCTATGACTTGATCCATACCTCCCATGAGAACGTCCATCACAAAGAGCCCAGAATCCTCCACTGGCATCAAACCAGAGGTGACCATTCCTTTGCTCTGGTGCTAAATCCATTGGATATGGTTTTACCTTGCATTCCTCTATCTCATCCACAAATAAAGAATTTCATTTCCATCCCTACTACGTACAAGGCCCTGTGTTAGTCGCTTGGGTACACAAACAAATTGGCAAATATTCACTGTCAAGAAGCTCGAATTCTTCTGTGCTGGGGGGTGGGGTGTGTGTAAATACAACATGTAAAGAGATAAATAAATAGGACACAGTTTGAAGAGGGAGACAGTGCTAACACAAGGAGGGGGTCTCTGAGCTGGGCCACAAAGACGCCAAGACAGAAGGGAGAAGTGGTTGGATTCCAGCCATCAGGGCAGAGTCTTGACAGAACTAGAATGCTGAGTTTGAGAAACACCAAGAAGCCAAGTGTGGCTGAATTACTAAGTGTGGGAAGAAGAGTAAGGCTTAGATATTCTGGAGCCAGCCTGAAGGGCTCTGAATGCCAAGCTAGGCAGTTTATATTGCATCCTAGAGGTAACAGGGAGCCCCTGAAGGAGCCCCTTGAGTAGCATGTGTAGACCTATGCTTTTGGAAGACTATTTTGGCCACTAATGTGGGGGCTGGATGGAAGCAGAGAGTCCAAGGACACTATTGTGGTAGCCCAGGCGAGGAAGGGCTGTGTGTGGAGAGAATAGGCTAGATGTGAGAAATGTTGTGTGAGTAGAATTTACAAGGTTTGCCAACTGACTGAATCTGGCAGATGGGGGAGAGAGAAAAGTCAAGGATAACCCTATGCCTGTGAGCCTGGGTGACAGCAAAGACACAGTGCCCAAGAAGAAATGGGAAAGTGTGCAGGAGGGGCTGGCTGGCTTGGAGGAAGAGAATGACAGACTGCTAAAAAGCTTTGCCTAAACCTAGATAAACCCTAGCTCTGGCATTCCCTCGGCCTGTCGGTCTGGTAACCCTTTCCAAAAAGGAAGTGAGGTTAGTCTGGCACAGGCTGCTCTTCATGAAATGGTGCCAGCTCTTTGGGACCACATTCTGGCCTCCTTCTCCTTTTCGAGATGCTCACTGACCATCCCTTTAATGAACATCAAGCAACATCCAGCTCATCATCCCCTCGTTTACAGATTCCGTTCCTTCCCTTCTAAGACAACGTATCCATCTCTAGCCTTCCTGGGATTCTCCAGTTCTCTGTGCCAGCTGTTCTAATACCCTGAGAGGTGTTTAATCTGGGTCTGGTGATAAACTCTTTATGGGAAGTGAGGCGATGGTCTTTCCTTATCTGCTTATTGGCCGATAAAACAAGCAGTGTTCCTCCAGTCTTTGGTGCCAAGCAGGCCACTTGGAGGGGCAGGAGGGGCGACACTCCTGGCCTGCTACAAAACTCCTCTGAGATTCTGGGAGCATCACAGCTCATCCATAATCTCCCTCAGCTGTCTGCCGGAATCTCCTTTGGCTTTCTAGGAGTAAACTACTGCTCTCCTCCCCATCCTCTTCAGCTCTTCTCCCTCCAAGTCCCAGTAAAACCTTTCCCCCTTCCATTGTTCTCTCTGGGACCCCCATTCCTTCTGGACCTCTTCCTTTCAGGAGCCTTCCATTAGCTTGCTGTTACTGAGACCTGGCTTTCCCAGGTGACACCGAATCCCTGGCCATCCTCCCACAGTGACTGTGCTTTCCCTTATGCCTCCGACACACTAGTCCGGGAAGGGGATTCAGAATCCTCTTCGTTGCCTACTACCACCTTCAGACTTTCCTTCTGATGTCATCATTCAGAAACCTCTCTCTACAATTTTTCACTTTATTCAAATCGTGGTAGTTGTTGATATCAACGCCTAGAACATTCTCCCTTTTTTTCTCAAGGACCTTAACCCCTGGCTCACCCCCTTCCTTCCCTCTCCAGCTTCTCCCATTACAACAACATCCACATTGCTCTCTGAAGCTCCTAGTTCCTCAGTCTCTTTAAATGCAATGATACGTCTGCCGTAGCCACCCACAGAGTTAATCATGTATCCCACAAGCATTTCCTTAATCAGAAACTCTGACACTCTTCCATCCGACATGGCCTCTCCCTGTGCCTCACCCTTCCTAAACCTATCCTTTGCCCCCATTGCAGCCTTCAGTCTCTCCACAACTCAGTCATCTCTCACCTCCCTTGCTTTGACTTCCCTTTCCAATCTTCACCCTCCAGCTCACCGATTCACCTTCACACAGTCTCTGACATCCCTGTCCTGTTGCCCCTTCAGCCGTGTCAGCCCTCAGCCCTGGATTACTGCCCTCATCTGCCTCCTCTGCTTCTGTTCGCATGGGGCGTGCTCTTGGGATGGAAGGGGCAGACCTTTCAGGAGCACAGGAATATGGCGAGAGCTCTCCCTCCTCTGGATCTTGGAACCAAGGCCCGACGGTCCTGCCAGCTGTAATGCCTCTGAGTCACCTCTGCTGTAAGCTCCCTGAAGGCAGGCTTCACCTCTGTCTCTAATAGGCTCCTGCATACGGAGCAGTTCAAGTGAACTGAAACGAACCCTCCCCAATCCTCTCCAGAGTCTTCAAGCGGTGGCTGGACTCCTGGTCGTGAGCGATGCCATCGAGGGCATTTGTCCAGTGGGCAGGGAGTTAGACAAAAGGACCTTTAAGGGCTCATGTGACTCAACGTTCTGATTCTAGGACCTGCTGCCTGTGCTGTCTGCTCTTTACTTCCCTGTCCACAAGGCAGATGAGGAAAAGAGTCTTTGGGAATTCTTCAGCTACTCTTTCTTGCCTTCTAAATGAAGTCCAAAACTCCTCTGTACAGCATCCAACGTTGAAGGCCCTCCTCAATCCCATCTGCCTTGGTGCTCCTACTCACACTGCTCTGTGTGCCCAGAACACCCTCCCTTCCCCTCTGTTTAAAGTCAAACTCAAATGCTACCTCCTCAAAGAAGTCTTCCCTGATCCCCATAGCTGATAACCTTTGACCTCTCAGCCCCTACCTGGTCATAGCCCGAGCAGGCCAAGAAGCGACCTCCCCCTTAGACTTCCCATCCATTTGTTTGAACCTTCTAATGTACCTCCCTGGCTAGACATGCCCATCTCTTCCTCTCCTCCCAAACAGTAAGCCGCGTGAGTAAGGGGACGTCTTTAACCTAAACTTTGTATCTCCTGAGGCTCCTGGCACAGGACTCTACAGGCAGCGAAGCTTAAACCAGACTGTAGAGTTTAGCTGAACTTGGGAGCCTGGAAAGCCCTGCTTGGTGCTTCCTTCCTTAGTCTGGGCATGGCACGAGGGGGTGCCTCATGTGGAGTTTCCAGGGCACCCACACACATCCAGACCCCAAAACTCTGGAGGAAATCTAAGCGCCAGCCTGCGAGTTTCCATGTGGCCCTCAAATCCCTTCCCAATCTGCCTCCAGCCCGATTATACCCTGCCCCACTTCACATGAGCTAAGATCCAGCCAAAATGGCCTTCACCTGCACAGTTCCCTCTCCCACGGCCAGGCTGTGCCCCGTGCCCATGCTGCACTGTCTACAACTCTAAGAATCCCTGGCCTCTTTCAAAGTTAGAGTCAAAGCACTGCCTCCCACAGGAAGCCTTTCTGGACTGCTCCTCCCCTTGCTGGCCACTGAAATTACCCAGGATCTACTTGCTCTATATTTTGTATCTACATGAATGAATGAATGAATGAAACATTCCAACATCTGCCGTGTGCAAAGCACTGTACTGAGTGAGACCCTCTCTGCTCCCAAGGAGCTCCCACTCTGCTTCCATGGGTCCACGCTACTGCCCCAGGGGAATGGAAGCTCTCTGAAGGCAAAGAGAGTTTATTTTTTTACCTTTGTATTCCTAGTTCTTGGTACAGTGCCTGGCATACAGTAGGTGCCAAATAAATGCTTACTGAGTGGCCAGGTCAAGTTTTGAAAAATCTTTCTTATAAGAGTTGATATTAGATGCTAGAAAGCCTGTGGATCCCACTGAGATTTCATCAATCAAAATACACACCGGACTGCTGTTGTGCGCACAGTGCAGCCTCGGCCACAGCCTGGCCACCAATGGCCTGGGATTCTGCAGCCTTAGTGTTTGAGAGGAGCCGTGGAGCTAGCAGGAGGGATCAGAGGCTCTAAAGGGTGCAGGAAGTGGCCTGAGGGAGAGGGTTCAGAGGAGGAGGAGGACAGAGTAGCCTTAGAGGGAGTACAACTTGATGTTTACCAGTCCCCTCATGAGAACCAGCAGTAGGGAAGGGGTGACCTTGGTGGTCTGAACAAGATCAAGGTGGGGAAAGGAGCAGATGCTTTGTTTCCCAGTGAGAACTCTTTTCTCACTGAGTGAGAAAGCCTCTTAAGAGACTCAGAACCTGAGGCCACTCTGCCCCTGGAGCGTCCGGGGCTCTGCCCAACACATCCCTCTATGACTGAGTCTCTCTCTTGGCCAAGGCCCTGGTTTCTGCCCTTTGCGCTCTCAGGAGGTAAGGGCTCCCTGGAAGGTCTTAGCTGGTCTGCATGTGTCTGGGCTGGGGGTGGGGTGGAGGGATGGAGAGGAGCTGGTTGGGCAGCTGAAGATGGAGTCATGGATGAGAGCTCACCCTTCTAGGAATGGGGCTCTTCCAGCCCTTCCCCCTCATTCCTCTCTCCCATCTCTAGATCAAGGAAGAATACTTGGAAAAGAGACCTGAGGGCTGAGCTAGAGGGCAGAGCAGGGCAGGTGGGGGAGTTTTGGGGCTGGCCTAGGAAGGTAACTTGCATCAACACTCACCTCTGGTAGCTTCCTTGATCAGCTGGACATGGTAGGTGGAGCACTTGGACAGCATGTCTCTGAGTTCAGCTACACTGTGCTTGGAGGGCTCCTGGAAAGCCAGGGAGCATTTCTTGGTATGAATGGAGGTGGAGCGAATCACCTCCGTCCGGCCATGCTTGAAGGCAGCTGTGCTGCATGGCTCATAGGAGGACACCATTTGACCACAGAGCCCAAGGAACGCCATCTGAAAGGCGAGATGGATCATGGCGTCGGGGCTCACACCCTCCTGCTTCAGGAAGCACTTGCCCTCCTTAAACCGCACCAGCTTGACTGAGAAGGTTCGCACTGCTGCGTTGTAGTTGGCTCTGGCGTTTGTGATGCCCGCCCTCAAGGAGTCGTTCAGGTGGAAATGGAGCTTCTTCACGGCTCTGGAGGCATTGGTGGCCATGGGGCCCTCCAGGGGCCCGATGGCGGGGGCCTTCATGCTGTCTTGGAACACCTCCTTCATGAAGCGCAGGACGGTCATGACATCGCCCCACGAGTGCTCAAAGTTGATGGCTGCCGAGCCGTCGTTGGTCAGGATCAGGTTGAAGGACTTATCGAACCAGCGGTTATGCCCATTGCCATAGAGCATGATCTGAGTGAAATGGTCAGCATCCTGCACGAGCAGGTCATCTAGGCACAGACTGAAGATGGCCGTTTCCACCTTCTTTAAGGCTTCTTGGTTGCCATTGGCCAGGAGTTCTTGCCTTAGCTGTGCCCATGTGTCCCGTTTCTCAGTTGTCAGATATGCCAAAGGAAAGTCAGGCATGGGGCTCTCGTCAGAGAGTATGTACTTGAGGTTAGCATGGATTTCTGAGGTCTGGATCATGGTCCCATTGCTTCGTAGGATATTAAAGATATAAAAGTTCCCATTCCTTAGCACCAGCAGGTGCTTGGCCCTCTCGTCTGTGAGAAGTATATCCCGTGCAAACTTGGGCAGCCGGCTTGTACTGAAGAGCCTGAAGTTCTGGGACATGTCCATGGGGTAGGCATTAAACATGGTGGCCATCTGGCACACAAATGACTTGGGGATCCAGCGGATGAACTTCTTGAAGAGCTCAGTGTCAGTCCTTTCTGGGTAGAGGTACAGCATCTCGGGCTCCAGTGTGTGAGTTCTGAAGGCCCTCAGGAACCGGATGATTGAGACGGTCATGTTGGTGGCACGTGTGAGCTGGTCGTTATACTCTGCTTTGGGGTCTGGTTGGAAAGCCAAGCCTACGTTCATGTTAAACGCAGGTGGATTGCGTCGGCCTAGATAAGAATTCAGCCATATATCTAGGGAGAAAGGAGTGTTGCGAGGTAAAAAGATATACAGGAGACATAACAGGAAGCAGTGGGAAGAAAGCTGGACTGGGGGGATCAGGAGAACTGGGCTTTAGCCTCACTTTTACCACAAAACCTCAGGCAAGTCAGTGAACTCTCAGGGCCTTGGTTTCTTCCTCTGTAAAAATCAGGGATTTGAACTCAGCAACACTGGATTTGGGGTGAGAAGATCTGAATTCAAATCCCCACACTATCAATTACTATCTGAATAGACTCAGGCAAGTCAATTCCCCTCTCTGGGCCCCAGTTTTCTCATCTGTAAAATGAGAAGAATTGGACCAGACCTCAAAGGTCTCTCCTACAGTCTCTGAGATGCTTCCAGTTCTCTATTCCTTTGATTGTGTGGATTCATAGGTCCAGCAGGATGTAGGAGTAACCCTGTCCCAAAGTCAATTGGGGGGAATCTTTCTTTACAGGTAGAGATGAAGGCCTGGCCCTATGTGAGGGGCTGCAAGTCTTCTCCCCATCTCTTCAAGCATGCAGTTGCTTCAGGACCTTCTTGCTTCCAGCTTTAAAGAGGCCAACTGGGAATGGAAGCCAGGTGTGCTCAAGCAGGGCACTCATCTCCACCAACAGAGAGAGAGACTCGTATGGGCTTTGGGATGGGTTACATGAAGTACCCAAGGGCAAGAAACACTCTGTTGTGGTCTTTGGATACCCAAATGCCCAGCACAGAAGCAGCCTACCATGGAAATGAAAGCACTGATGGGGTACCTTATGGTCTGCATTGCTCTTTACAAATATGATCTCATTTCAGCCTCATAACCCTGGGAGGGAAGTACTATGATCATCCCCAACACAGGTGAGGAAATTGAGGCAGGCAGAGGTGAAGTAACTTGCCCAGGGTTACTCAGCTAGTAAATGTCTGAGGCTGGATTTGAACTCACAGCTTCCTGACTCCAGGTCTAGCACTCTGTGTGCTGTGGTGCCCCCTAGTGGCTCATAGTAGAAACGACACTGAACTTGGAAGTCAAGAGTACCTTGATCCAAAGCTCACCTCTCATTCCCTACGATACCTTAACCTTTCTAGGCCTCAGTTTTCTTGTCTATAAAATGAGAATTGGACACAGTGGCCATTGAGGTCCCTTCTAGTCCACAATCAAGGTATTTAATAACTATTTATTGAATTGAATTGATATCATGTGCATTCTATTCTAAATATGGGAACTAAGTTGTTATTTAGGAATCATTGTCCTATTGCCATAGATATTTTTCTGGCATCCCTTTCCATTATGTGGGCAAGTGTGTGTGTACGTGTGCATGTGTGTGTGTGTGTGTGTGTGTGTGTGTGTGAGAGAGAGAGAGAGAGAGAGAGAGAGAGAGAGAGATGGTGGGTCATCAGAAGCCCTGAACTATCTGGCTTCCTCTTCTCTTCCCAAGCTTTCTCTCTCTCTCTCTCTCTCTCTCTCTCTCCCCCTCCCTCCCTCTGTCTCCTCTGTCTCTCTCTGTTTCTGTCCAACTATCTGCCCCCTCTACCAGCCTCCCCTCCCTCCACCAATGACCTTTCTCCTACTGTCTTCCGCCTTTAATGGCTTCCCATCTCCACAATGTCTCTTATATCCATACCCTCCTATTCACTTTCACTGCCACCACTTCTGGCCCTTCTCACCTGTTAACCTGGATTGTTACTGCATTCATAAATAGTGTCCCTGTCTCTAGTTTCTTTCCTAAATCCCAGCTCTAATCACATCATTGTCCTCCTCCAGAACCCAGTGACTCCCCACTGCCTCCAGGCTGCTCCATGGAATTTACTGTTTCCCTTGGAAGGCCTGTTTTGTCCACGCCCCATTTTTTTTGTCTGACTGAAGCTAAGGCTTTCTCTGCCCTTAAGTAAACTTCTGATCCTTCCCTCATGGTTCTCAATTCAGCGACCTCAGTTTCAACAAACAGTTGGCATTCCCATAGGTCCCAAGGAGTTAATTAGAGAAGAACAAGAACAAGAACAAGGTCCCTGCTCCAAGGAAGCTGACAGTCTGAAAGGGGGAAGAGAACATCTTTAACACTTTCAAAGACTCATGATATAATAATAATAATAATAACAACATCAGCTAACATTTATGTACTACTTTATGATTTGTGAAGCACTTTACAAATATTTTAATCTTTACAACAACCCTGGGAGGGAGGTGCTATTATTGTCCCCATTTTACAGATGAGGAAAGTGAGGCAGTCAGAGGTAAAGTGACTTACCCAGGGTCACACAGCTGAGGTCAGATCTGAACTCAGGAAGACTCGTCTTGCTGACCTCAAGTCCAGTGCTCCATCCACTGGACCACCTGGCTGCCCCACACTGACCTCAGAAGATCTCGAGACCTCCACCATTCAGTGGAATCTTTTTGAATGCCCCCTTCCCTGCTGACGAACCCCTGGGTATGGCTCAACCAGCTGGTTCTTGCCTGACCGGCACAAAGCCCACTTACAGGGCTGCCCTTACAGGCTGCTGAGCTTGGCTTCCATGGGTCAGGCTCATCTCCATGCCATGACCCCACCCAAGCGGGTGCCAGCTAGCATCCAGGCCCTCAGTCACCAGGACCACAGTTGGCCTTGAGCGTGAACTCTCCAGCTGGAAAGAGTCCTCTGAGCTCCCTCCTACTGAGGAGTCATTGGGATGCAGCAGGGAAGGGCCTTTAGACAAGGGTAATGAGAAGGATCGGACGAGGCAGCCAGTCCTGCTAAGTGTAGCTGCACTGTCCTCGTCTCAGCCTAGATTTCTAGCTCTGCTTTTCATTTGTTGTCATTTGCCCTCTTTTCTCAATTATCCAGGAACCCCCCAACCCTGTGTCAGCTGGTAAAGGGAAGAAGGGGTCTGCTTATACCGCCTACAGAAAGACCCCAGTGGGGAGGCGGTGCCGAGGCCCCGAGGAGGAGGCAGCTAGCAGCGACATTCACAGATCTGGGTGTCCCAGCGAGCAAGGCAAGATGTGGCTCTTCCCGCCCCAGCTGCACCCTTCTTCCACCATCCAGGGAGCAACTCTGGTGCTAATGCCACTGGCAGCTTCCTCTGCAGGCGCTGCAGGCTGTCCCTGACTGCTGCCTCAGCAGCCACAGCTACCCAAGAGTAAAGTCCTTGGCCCTGTCAAATGACAACATCAGAACCTCATGTGGTTTTTCTCAGTGGCAGTGATGCCAAAGAGGTCTCCGTCTGCTTTGCCACGGTACCCTGCCACCCACTGGGCCCTCCATCTGACTCACGATCAGTCTTGTCCTCAAGGGGTGGCCTCCCCAAATCAGAATATGAGCTCGCAGAGGGTAGGGGCTCTCTTGCTTTTCTGTGTCTCCACACCTCACCATGGTGCTGTGCACACAGCTTAATGAATGCTTTTTCATTCATTCATTCTAGTGATGGACACAAATTGGTTTAAAACAGGGATGGGGAACCTAAGATATTCTGTCATGAGCCTCAAAATCTAGCCTGTGGTCACTTTTCATCCCTGGTCTCTGATCTCCAGTGTCTCAACAAGGTCAAGAGCACCCTCTAAAAGCTTCCAGCCCCCTAAGATAGATACAAACCAGCAGAATCACTCACAGAAATCCTGTATTTTTGGGGACACAGGACACAACACCAAGACATCCCAAACCAGGACTTTGGCCAAAAGCAAGACATACATCCCCCAAATTACTCTAAGAGGTAAGAAGATAAGGTCAGTGTCACAATTCTGTTCTGCTTCACCCAGAGCACTTTCCCCACAGCCACCCAGAAGGCAGGTATTATTACTATTGTCTTCACTTGACCACATTCTAATTGTCAGCCCTGGGACTCAAACTGAAATCTAAGATGCTGCGGGGGGCGGGGAGGGCAGGGCTAGCACCCTTGCACTGCAGACGCTATCTCCTCTGGTTGCCGGGTCTCCCTACCTGAGAAGGACATGGCGGGGGGGGGGTAGAGAAAGTGAAAACGTGCCTACTCGGACAAAGGTAGAGGCACCCACAGGTGGTCAGGCGATAGGGCTGAGCTTTTATCTCTTGGTGTCTTGGCCCCCAAAGGCATAGAGAGGCTCTAAGCATGAGGAGCAGACATGTGCTGGCACCCCTGATGTGGTGCAGTTGCTGGCCTCTGGTTTATCTTAAAAAACAAACAAACAAACAAACCTAATAAGATTTATTTGGGTACATGACACTGAGTTCCCACCATTTGATCAAGGCAGGTCTCTCCTGAACGAAATCATGCTTTCTGGCCACAATGCAGGCAGGGGCACCCAGATAGCAATGAGAGATAGTGCCATCCACTATCTAATCGGCATGTACCCTTTGTGACATGCCCATTCAGGCCTGGGCTCAGCGGCTGCTTGCGTGCATGGCTCTGTGATCCTGGACAATAAATAGGACATCCCTTGGTCTCCATCTATTTAGTGGGTCGGAGGAGATGACCAGGGTACTGTGTGCCAGGCATAGTGCCAAGCACTGGAGATATAAGGAAAGGCAAAACAAAGCAGTCCCTGCCCTCAAGGAGTCTCCAGTTTACTGGGGGAGACAACATGCCAACAACTATGTCCAGACAAGATACAGACAGCATGAACTGGAGATAATCTCAAGGGCAGGCACTGGAATTAAGGGGGATCAGGAAAGGTTTCTCACAGAGATGTTAGAGGGAACCTGAAGGAAACAGAGGAGCCTGGGGAGGGAGCTAGAAGGCGTGGGGCACTGCCAGTGAAGATGCCCAGAGACCGGAGAGGGAGGGTCTCGTTGCAAGGGAAAGCAGACGGCATGTGCAGAGGGGCTGGGCGGTAGGAAGCGTAGGCTGGGAAGGTAGCAGGGGCCGGTGATGGAGGCTTTAAAAGCCAAACAAGGTTTTCTATTTGGTCCCGGAGGTGACAGACAGGAGGTCACTGGAGTTTATAAATAATTGGGGGGGGGGCAGTCAGACCTGCATAGCAGGAGGATTCCTTTGGTGGCTGAGTGGAGGATGGGCTGGAGCGGGGGGGAGGCGAGGCAGGCAGACCCATCAGGAGCTATGGGGGCAGTGGTCCAGGGGTGAGGGGGTGAGGGCCTGGGGGCACACCACAGAGGCGGCGGCTGGCTACCAGGCAGCAGCTGACCATCAGGCAGCAGGAGGAGAGGGCTGATGAGGGGCGTGACAGGAAGGTCGCTCCCCGACCCATGGTCACTGTTTTCAGTTTTCCTGAGGGCTGGCCCTTGCTATGAATGAGAATCTTCATTCAACTACAGGACATACTGAGGGAATGGGCCCACCCTACGCAAACTTCTGTGGGCTCTGTTTACTGCTGAATAAACTCGGGGTGCGTGAGTTAGGGAGGCTCTATTGGCAGGACCATGGACAGCGTTGAATGCAGGCACAACCCAGATTTCCTGATTCAAAGTCAGGGGGCGCCACAGAGCCCCGGGCCTGGAGTCAGAAAGACCTGGGCTCAAATCCAGCCTCAGACACTTACTAGTTGGGTGACCCTGAGCAAGTCACTTAACCTCTGTTTGCCTCAGTTTCCTCAGCTGCAAAATGAGGATGATAATAGCGCCTACCTTGCAGGGTTGTTGTGAGGATCAAATGAGTTATTTGTAAAATACTTAGCCCAGTGCCTGACACATAGTAGATGTTTAACAAATACTTATTTCCCATTCCTCACCCCCACCCCCAAGTCCAGGGCTCCAGCGCTGGAGACAGAGGACACCAAAGTCACAAGTTGGGTGGTGGGGGCTGGAACCTAGATCTCCTGACTTTCAGGCTTGCTTTACCCTCTTCATGTTAAAGTTAGGAAAAGTGATGTTGGGGGGCAGCTAGGTGGTGCAGTGGATACAGCACCAGTCCTGGAGTCAGGAGGACCTGAGTTCAAATCTAGCCTCAGACACTTACTAGCCATGTGACCCTGGACAAGTCACTCAACCCCAACTGCCTAAAAAAAAAAAAAGTGATACTGAGCAGGTGAGTGGCAGAGGCAGGGTCGCATCTCACAGGGTTGGGCCCCACCTGCTCTGACATCCTGGAAAACAGCTTCTTGGGTGAAGAGGAGGGACAAGAGCTTCAGAGCTTGGCCCCTGTGACAAAGCTACAGCCTCTTTAGATTCTGTCCTCCAGAGCTGCCTCACCCCCCCCCCCCACCAACCACATCATTGCCTCCTACCTGAAATATAGCTAGTGTGCTGACTGTGCTGATCCTGAAAAATCAGCATGTCGTGCAGCTCTCTGCCGAGGCCATGCTGAAAGTCATGGGAAAATGCTGTTGTTCTCCTGAAATAATGGAGCAGAGTCTTGGTTTGTATGCTGGCCTTTGGCCGCACCTCCAGCTTCCTCTCTTTCTCTCTCTCCTCCTCCTTTCCCTCATCAGCCCTGAGATTCAAACTGAAATCTAGGAGACTGGCCACAAGATGCTGCAGGGGTGAGGAGGCCAGGGCTAGCACCCTCAAGCTGCAGATGCTATCTCCTTCCACTTCCAACCTTCCCTGGCCTGTACTGGCGACTGGCCCCTGGCCTCAGCAGACTAGCAGCCCACCCTCTTGCTTTCCCCTCCTAGGGCTCTTAGGAGGAATCAGTGAGTGGAGAAGAAAGAAGAGGACACATTCTCTGGGCATTCTTCTGTTCCCTGTCACCAGCTGACTGAGCTGTCAGTCAATATAACCTCAGCCAGCACTAGAAATAATCCATTAAAATGATGGCTAATCAAGCTCCAGTTATCCTAGAGCTGAGTGATGGTTCAGTCAGCCAAAGGCATTACTGGAAAGGAGGCATGTGGTGCGCTCCCTACCCCCCCCACCCCCGTAATTTCTGCTGGGCCCACGAGCACACAGTGCTCTGCACTCAGGCCTGGTCCTTACACCTGTAAGTTTCTTATTTCCTGCTCTTTATCATCTCTACCTGAATTGATCTGCAGTTAACAGAGGTTCCTGTGCTCTCAGGTATCTTGCGATCGAGTTTTCAAGTCTGGGAATGGGTAATCTGAAGAAAAAATAGTCACGTTAGGCTGTGTCCAGCCTGGCCCCAGGCTCTGGCGAGGAAGGGCTCAGGAAGGACTCACCTGCCATCACCAGGTCCTGCACGTGGGAAGGAGCGGGCCCAGCAGGGCAAAGGACCTCAGAGGTCTGCTAGAAGCCCCTCACTGTGCTTTATGACATTGGCATGTCCCCTCATATGCTCCACCCAGAGAACCAGCCTTCCCTTCTACCCAAGAAGCCAAGCTCACCAACCCTTCAGTCAGTGCCAACGTCCTACAGTGCCCAACCTCTTCATTCCAAGAATGGGGGGTAATCTATGCAAAGGCACGGAGGCTGGAGATGGACCAGAAAGTCTGGAGGACCCCAAGGAGGCCGGTTTCACTGGAGTGAGCAACAATGAGGGAAGAACGTCCTCATCTCTCTTTCTGTCTGTCATTACCAGTCATTGCCGGTAATATTATAATTTCACAGCATTTTGTTGTCATTCTTTCCATTTGTGTTCCAATCACTCCATTTTACAGCCAAAGAAACTGAGTCCAAGAGAGGGAAAATGACTTGACCACAGTCATTCAGATTGAGCCTCCTGACTCCAAACCTAACATTTATTGACCACACTTTGAATGCCTGACTGACCAAATGGGTAAAGCCAGCTCCTCCTAGCTGACGGCCCAGGTAACAATGGAAGCCGACGCTGCCGCACTCCGTGGATGGAACTGGAGATGAGACTGGGCCGGCAGAGGACAACGTCTCTCCTCTGTACTACGAGCTGTAACAGAATCCTCCCAAATCTGGCCCAGGCCAGCCGACTTTATGTCCCTGCACTGGGGAGGCAAGCCCTTGCCCTCCGCCATCTCCAGGATCACAGACGATTTTTGGCTGACACCGACTTGAAAAAGGAGGGGGCTGAAGCCAAGAAGGGCAGTGGCACAAGAACTCAGTTCTCTGGGGTCCAACTGCCAAACCCCAGCCACCCTGAGCATCAGAGGGGAGGGTCTGAAGGGCCCCGGGAGAAAGAAAGCGGTTTCCAGAAGCTCCTTGTAGCAAGCTGCAGCGGGCCAGGATGGCAAAGGCATGGAGGCTGGAGATGGAATGACGAGTTTGGAGAACACTCAGGATCTTGTTCTGTGGCCAGTCCTGCGCCCTTTCTAAAGAGGCTGAATTTTCAGTTTCTTCATTTTAAAGTTAAGAAATGTCATGTCAGCCATATTAATCAATATTGATCTAGATTATTTAAAATAGGTAGACAGTATAAGGTTGAAATATTCCTGTGGTATCGGAAATGATAAGTTGGTGGACTTAGAAAAATATGGAAAGACTTGGACTTATGAAGGAAGAAGCTATCCACCCTCAGAAATTATAGATATTATAATTCTAGATCTCTAAGTATATGTATGTACATGTATGTATATGTGTGTGTGTGTGTATATGTGCGTGTATATGTCCGTGTTTAATTGTAGCCTGCTTGGGGGAGAAGGGGGTAAAAAGAACAAAGGAAAAAGTACACAGCAGAGAACAAAACTTACAAGGAAGAAAAGATGGACTGCTCTCAACACAATGCGTAGTATTCATTATATAGGCTTTCTTGAAATGGAAATGTGTTGCTGTATATTTTAAATCCTCTCTTACATTGTGCTGTGCACAGGGCAATGCTTTTTTTTTTCTTTTCTTATTTTGTATTTAAGTTTAAAATTAATTTAAAAAAAAAGTCTCCCTCCATCCTTCCCCACCTGCTTCCTGCCGACAGCGCCTAGCACAGAGCGCAGAGTTAATAAATACCAGCTGATCCGCTGCCTGCCTGACTTCCTGGACCTCTCTGAATAGCCTAACAATGGGACTCCCATCTTGGCTGCACCTGAGCTGAAGTCTGAAATCGGTTTCCATCCTGCCAGTTGGGAATTGTCCCTGGCAGAAGCCCTTCCAGTGGCTCCCCAGCTGGGTGCCTCTGGTCTCCTCTGCTCACAGTGCTCTGCCTGGGCGGGGGATCTCACCTGGCTGCCAGACCTCTGGAAGAGGGAGCCGGTGCTTAGTCAGAGCTGGGCCAGATACTGTGTTGACCATATACAGCAATTCTCCATGAATTCATGACCCCACTGAGGAGGGCATACCTACATTCTGGCACCCATTCAACACCTCCTTTGGTGCAAGGCCATTAAGAATCTTAATTCCATATACTAGACATGTATGTATACATCCAGTAGGTGTGTAGAAACTCTTTAAGGTTGCTAAGCACTTTTTCTTTCTTCTTCCCTCCCTCTCCCCCATTAACAAAAGAAAGAAAAACCAAACCCTCGTAACCAGACATGTTTCATTTGGCACCTCTGTCCTCTGTCCTCTGCTGTGGAGGAGGGTCACGGCACTGAGCCATGTTTTGACATCGTCCCAAATCGTTCCTTTGCCGGTACTGATGTTACAGCCCACTCTGGTCTAGCTCTCCTCCCGTCACTGCATCAGTTCAGGCAAGGCCTCCCAGCTTTCTCAGACCCTGTTTCATCATTTCTTACAAGGCGCCATCATCTGTCCAGTCATTTTGTGTCGGACAAAATGTCCAACATTTGTCCAAATGTTGTTCTTTGCTGCCTTCAGGAAGGAGGCCTGGAGACAGTACAGACTGGGCTGGGCTGGTTGTAGGCTTCCAAAAGTCCAAAGTGGAACTCACCAGTGAGGAAAGTGGCCCTGTGCAGCCGGCCTTAGAAGCTCCTGTCTTATCCTGTCTTCTCAGTAAATATCCTTTGGTAAAAGCTAACTGGTTAATAGGTTAACCGGTACTTAAGGGCTCTTCACTGACAGTTAGGTGGGGCCCTGGACCTAGAGTCAGGAAAACCTGAGTTCAAATCTGACCTCAGACCCTGGGCAAGTCACTTCACCTTTGTTTGCCTCAGTTTCCTCAGCTGTAAAATAGGGATAACGGAACCTATCTCCAAAGGTTGTAAGGATTAAATGAGATATTTGTAAAGTGCTGCGCAAACCTTAAAGTACTATATAAGTGCTATTACCATCATCATTACTGGTGACTGGTATTGGGGAGAACAGGAGGGATACTCAAGCAAATAACAACTGAAGGACCCCCAGTCTCTCAGGGATACCCAGGTAACCCTCTCTGAGTCCTCCGGAACCCAATTCATCCGTGTGAGTGTGAGCTGGGATAAAAACGCCCCGAGCTCACAAAGGCCCAAATACAAGAAGGCCCAGAGGACTACAGGTCGAGTCTAGGGCTGGAAAAGACCCGTCCTCTAATCCAGCCCTCTTGTTTTACAGAGGGGGAAACTGAGGCCCACAAAGGTGACTCAGGCGGGGCTAGAACCCAGGGCTCCCGACTCCACGTGCTGCCGCCGCTTTCTACTGAAGCACGCGGCCACCGGAGGTCTCAGCACACCGGTATTTAGCAGGACTGCTCCAGAATCGCTCTGACCTCGTGCCCACACACCTTGTTAACGGCTGTCAGGAGTTGGCCCTTCCCTTTAGAATCCCTTGAAGGCTCTTATATATTTATAGAATCAAAATATGTCCAATTGGATGGATCAAGCCCCGCCCCCTCTGGTCACATTCCGCCGTGGCACCGCCTCCTCTCTGGCACCGCCCCCGACTCCTCCTCTCGGGGCAAGCTGTCCATTTAAGCGGCCTAGCACCGGATCAAGCCCCGCCCCCTCTGATCACGCTCCTGCCGCGTCCCCGCGCCCTTATCGCGCCCCTGCATTGGCTCCGCCCCCTCCTCACCTGGGCAGGCTGTCCTGGAAGTGCAGTGTGGGCAAGATGCTGGGAACCAGGCCCACGTCTTTGCTGCCTCTCTTGCCTCCTCTGGAGGCGACCCCGAGGCTTCTGCGCGGGGGGCGGCCGTGACGACCGAGTTGACGGCGGAAGATGAACCGAAGCAGGCCAGGCCCCGGGGACAGCGCCATGGGGCCCGGCCTCTCGTTCCACGCCCGTTGCCTAGGCAACCTGGGGCGCCTGCGCAGTGTTGCCCGTCCCCAGCTCCCCCCCACCGCCACGTGCGGCCTGTTGACGGTTCCAGGGAAGAAAGGCTCCTTTCCACGAGGCTCGGGCTGTCTGGCTTTGCCCCCCACGTCTGCTGACCTTGCAGTCCACTGCAGTCCACTACAGTCCCCGGATCTTTTTCAGAACCCCTCTTGTCCCACCACCTTTGTTCTTGGGGAGCATAAGACCTGGCATTTGTCCCTCCTGCATTTTTCCATGTTAGATTAAATGAATGAATGTGAAAACAGAAAAGCCAGGAAGCCCCAGCTCTTCAGGAGCCCCTGTCCTACTGGGGGAAGACAGTACACAGAAGAGAGTCCAGCTGCAGGGCGGATGGCTTGGCCCTAGAGGGCACGGGCTAGGTCAGATGGCAGTGCCAGGAGCTGCAGCTGCTAAGGGCATCCTGTGGTCACCATATCTAGCTCTGGGGTGGGGGGGATCTTAACCTGGGGACCATAAACTTTTTAAAAAATGTAATGGCTATTTCAATGTAATCAGTTTCCTTTGCAACCCTATGTATTTTATTTTGTGGCTCTGAAACCAACTTAACCTGTGTTCTTGAGTTGCCATATTTTGCAGATTCACTGTACCTGGAAGTGTCAAGGCTGAAGCCCCTCCTGGGTGTGATGGGGTTGGGATTGAGACCCCAGGAAGGAAAAACCCTGGACTTTCCCACTTGGCCAAATCTCTGACATTTGCTTGAGGCTATAATCCCATCAACTGGCCTTTCATTGTGGCTACACCCAATCTCCTAATTCTGTTACCTTAAACCTAGCCTGGCCTTCCTTTGTTTTACCTCCCTATGTATGGCCCCTGGCTATTCCCCACCCTTAATCCTAGCTAGTCTCCATTCTCCCTTGGCCACGAGGTCCAGGTCCCGGAGTTCTGTTCACCCCAGTTTACTGGCCTCTCCTAGGTCCCTCCCACAGTTTTTCTGTATATAAGGTCTACCTTGTCTCCATTAAGAGGCTTAGATTCTTATAATCTAACCACTGTGAAGATTTTCACAATCTAGCCAATAGTCCACAGATGCTCAGATTCCTTAAGAGTCTAGCTAATATGGCAAATCTTCAATAAACTTTGTTTTTGGCTGAAAGAAGGCTTGAGTTGAATTCTTTAGGGCAGGATCTGCATTTCTTGATTTTGGGATTCCAGGACCCCTAACCTCTATAACTCATCAAGTGAATGCAATGTGTTGTATGCAATTTCATATGTTTGAAAACATTCTTGGGAGAAGGGGTCCAAAGGTGACTGCCAAAAGGATCCATGATGCCAAAATTCTGGAGCCCCTGACCCAGCCCCTCAATATCTTTTTTCATCCTGAGCCCCCAGTCCACCTCATATCCCAACTCTGGGCATTGTCACTGGCCTGGCCCCAGGCCTGGATCTGTCTCCTTCCTCTCTGCCTCTGGCTTCTCTGGCTTCCTTCAAATCTCACCTAAAGTCCCATCTTCTTCCAGAAGCCTCTCCCAATCTCCCTACATGTACAGCACTTTCTCTCTGTTAATTGCCTCCAGCCAATCTGGAATTTATCCCACTTGTACCTAGTTGTTACACTGTGAGCTCCTCAAGGGCAGGGACTGTCTTTTACCTAACCCCAGCATCTAGCACAGTGCCTGGTACACAGGAAACACTTAATAAATGCTTGTTGACTAACTGGAACATAGTAGGCACTTAATGAATGCTTCTTGACTGATTAGCCCTTGAGAATATAAGCTCCCTGAGAATCAGAACTGCTTTTGCCTTTCTTTTTATCCCCAGTGGGAAAAGCAAGTAGTAGCGGATAGAGAGAGCTGGCCTCAGAGTCAGAAGACCTGGCTTTGAGTCCCACTTTGACCCACAGTGGCTATGTAACCTTGGCTAAGGGCTCAGGACAACTCCATAAGACTTTCAGTTGCAGGGAAAATACGAGCTTGTAATGGTAGAAGGCATTTTCTCACCTGGGAGTTACCTATCCCAATGGGGTCACAAGAACAGTCCCTTATTGTTTTTCATTCCCATCCAACTCTTGCTGACCTCGAGGACCACAGCACACCAGGCTCTTCTCTCCTCCACTATCTCTCAGAATTTGTCCAAGTTCGTGTTTATTGTTTCCATGACACTATCTATCCATCTCACCCTCTGCCATCCCTTTCTCCTTTTACCTTCAATCTTTCCCAACATCAGAGTCTTTTCCAATGAGTCCCATCTTTTCATTATGTGGTCAAAGTATTTAAACTTCACCTTCAGTTTTTGACCTTCCAGTGAACAGCCTGAATTAATTTCTTTAAGAATTGACTGATTAAACTGGCCTTTCATTGTAGCTACACCCAATCTCCCCTCCATTGTCTTATCTCCCTATGGCCCCTGGCCATTTCCCACCCTTAATCCTAGCTAGGCTCCATTCTCCCTTGGCCACTAAGTCTAGGTCCCCGGAGTTCTGTTCACCCCAGTTTACTGACCACTCCTAGGTCCCTCCCACAGTCTTTCTGTATATAAGGTCCACCTTGTCTCCACTAAGATGCTGGGATTCTTATAATCTAGCCACTGGTCAGATTCTTAAAATCTAGCCTAATAGCTTACTAATGTTCAGACTCCTTAAGAGTCTTGCCAGATATGATGCATGTTCTAGTAATAAACCTTGTCTTTGGCTGAAAAAAAAAAAAAGAATTGACTGATTTGATCACCTTGTTGTCTAAGTGACTCTCAAAAGTCTCCAGCACCACAGTTCAAAAGCGTTGATTCTGCAACGCTCGGCTTTCCTTATACTCAACTTTTATGGCCAACTCTTATGGAAAAACCATAGCTTTGACTGCACAGACCTTTGGAAGCAGTGTCTGATTTTATATTCTTGGGCTCAAAGATCACTGTAGGCAGGTACTGCAGCCATGAAATTAAAAGACACTTGCTCCTTGAAGGAAAACTATGGCAAATCTGGACAGTGTACTAAAAAGCAGAGATATCACCTTGCCCACAAAGGTCCATAACGTCAAAGCTGTGGTTTTGCCAGTAACAGTCACTGTCCTCCTTCTGTCCACAGGGCCTGCCATGTAGTAAGAGTTTCACAAATGCTTATTGATTAATTGGACATCATCTGGTCCTCATTTTGCAAGTAAGGAACCTGAAACACAGAGCGAAATGATGACTAGGGTCACACAGGTAAGTGACCCAACCAACCTTTGAACTCAGGTCATCACCCCCAATCCAGCACTTTTCCCATTGGACCCTAATGGTTTTGAAGCTTCCATCCCCTTGGGGAACAGGTAAGTATCTAGCTTCTCTTCCTTGGTGGCTTGGCAGGTTTATCTTCATTGTCCTCTTGGAAAAAACTGCCCAACATCTGTCTGAGTCACACCATGTGTATCTAGTAGGAAGGGGGTCACCACACAGTAAGCTTTGAGACTCCTTAACTTTCAAACTGTATTTTTTTTTATTTTTAGATTGCTTTATTTAAGAGATGAAAGAGATGCAGAACTAACAAACAGCACACTTCCCAACTTCCCTCCCGTCCATTCCCCTCAAATAATGTGTTTATGAATCTCTGAAATATTGATCCCATCCTTCCCTGTTCCTAAACATTCCCAGGATACAAATAGCTCAATTGTCCAACTCCCAGACCTTAAAGCAAACTGCTGGGTTCCTCATCTCTAGTCTCTCACCTCCTCTCCCCAAGCCCTTCAGCTTGAATAGAGCTTGGTAGAGCCCAGAGGGGTAACAGGGAGAGAGGAAAATGCAATCCTTTCTGTGAAAGGAGCTGGGGAATAGAGTGGTGAGATGAAGGCCCCCATAACTGGGATGACTGGATGGAGGGCCTGGAGCTAGGGGGAAAGGCATAGGTGCCCCAGGGAAGGAACTAGCTGCCTCACAATCTTCTCCGGCTGAGCTGCTACTGCTGCACTTGTCCTTCTGATGCCAGTTACAGAACCAAACTCAGACGTCTTTCTCAAGTCCCCAGCTCCCCAGCAATATTGCCGATCTGCTGAAGTGTGGGCTTGGGACACTGGAGAAACATGGTTTCCAAGTTTCCCTGAACAGCATTCTCAATGTTTGTACTCTTCCTCTTTCTGGCTCGTTGGATTATCTCAGCCTGGCACAACTCCTGAAGGTGGTCATTGTCATCTGCAGCTTCTAGCCACTTCTGTAGCAAAGTTCTGAGCTTACACGTGTTCTTGAAGCTGAGCAGTAGTGTCTGAAAGTGACAGATGGAGGTCTGGTTAAAAACCTGGCCAAAGAGAGCCCCCAAGGTGATGCCCACATCAGCCTGGGTATAACCCAGAATGATCCTTTTCCACTTTAGCTCCTTAGCAAACTGCTCCAGTTCCTCTGGGGAAGGGGTCTCCTGTGGTTGCTCGTCTCCACTCTCCACCGGCTCAATCTTGGTAACTCGACCAGTGGCACGGGACTCTGGGTAGCTGCCTTTGGAAGGGGTCTCTATCCCAGGTCCTGCATCACTTGTTGGGGACTGTGATCTCCTGAGCAGGCTGAGCCATCACTCCCACATTGAACTGAGATTCACAATAGACACCCCCTCCCCATATATTGTACACAGGATGGTATGGGGCCATTTCCCACCAGGTGGGCCTTGAAAGCCCGGCCAATTCCACATCAGCTCTGACCCTCTGACCCCGCCACAGCCCCGGGTGGAGAGAAATATTCAGGAGCCAGATATCTGGCTACAGTAGGGCACCTCAACCCAGGTTTTGTTTGTTTGTTTGTTTGTTTTCCCAAAATGAACTTTCTATTCACAGCAAGAAACACTTAAAGATCAACCAAAATCTTCACATTCTGAGTGTTCAGTCAGTAAGTTGACTTTATTTGCCTTGTTTAAGGACAGTAAAGGAGATTTAAACAGACCTTAGAAAGAGAACTGGGCAACAAGCCATTCATTGACAGAGAAATCCTGAAGATAAACTTCCACCAAAAGTGGGAATGTTTGGGGCTTGTT